CCTCTCTAAACCTTAGTTTGTTCAAATTACCCCAAGGACACTGCTTGGCACATATTAGGTGCTTAGCAAATGCTGGCTGGAAGAACGAACAGAAATGGCGGCATCCACCTTCCACGTGGCCGTGGTAAGGAGGAGGTGGGATGAAGGACGGGCTGTGTTCTGAAAGTGCTAAAGTCCTTGACACGTGTGGCGATGACTGGAACAACAGACACACAGAGGGACTGGGTGGTGTGACCTCAGCCAGGGTCTGAGGGTAAAGGAGGTAGGTCTTCCAAGTCCCTCACTGCTCCCTGAGTTCACTTCTTTAAGAGAAGACTGGGGAGGAACAGACAAGAACAGTGACCTGGGTAAGCCCCAGGAAGACAGGGGTGGAGGAAGGCAGGTCCTCTATCCACCCACCAAGCCACAGACATTGCCGAAATACCCACTAGGTGCTGGGCCCCCCGCTGGGCTTAGGGGGTGGGAAAGGAGAGCTTCTGGATGCCAAACATAGCTCCTGCCCCATGGGGACCCTATAGCCATCCATGGTGACCTCAGGGGGGCAGCTTCAGCTCAGTCAGTAGAAGCAAGAGCCATGTAAGAGCTGCCTCCAGGGCCTGAGCTGCCCTGGAGAGAGTGAGGTTCCTGTCCCTGAAGGTGTGCAAGTAAAGATCAGAGGACCACAATCTCAGGGATACTTATACTCCCTCGTCACAAATTTGGGTTGGGCCAATGGGTCCCAACCTGGCTGACCATCAAAAGGTGACTGTGGGGCTTGCGAACCATCCAGATTCCTGGGGTCTCCCAGTAACCCTGGATCGGGAGGTCTAAGTGGACCCAGGATGATTCCTGTCTCTAATAACATCCTTGGGTGGCCCTGATGCAGAGCCAGTCTTAGGCACCCGGGCCCACAGAGCGCCGAGGTTTGAATGGGATTCTGCTTGGGAAGGGCTTTGACAACAGTGTATGAAGGTGGGGCGGCACGGAGACGGGAAACAAGAGGATGGGGGGGACAAAGAGGAAGACAAGCTGAGGATCAGGACGTTGATGAGTTGGGGTGACCTGACAGGCTAGCTCACTACAAGCCATGAGGCCGGAAGAACAGGCAAAAGGCACACGTGGACACCCAAAGGGGCCGAGGGAGGCGGGGGGTCAGGGCAGACGTTCTGGAAAATGTGGGGGTCGGCTGGTGGTTAAGAAAGCATTAGACATGGAAGGTGAGGCTGGGCCTGCTGTGTGGAGGATGCAGGAGAGTCACCTGTTGGAAAGGAGGGCTGGGGAGAAAGTGTGGGCTGGAGGCAGACCACGAAAGGCCTTGCACACGTAGGAGAAGGATTCTGGATGTCAACTTCAACAACAGGGAGCCACTGAAGGTTCTTGAGGGAGAGCATGACCTGGAGGAAGGCCTGTAGCAGTGACCACTAGTAGGGCTCAGAAGGGCCTGGGCAGCTCCAGACTCACCAGTTAAGAGTCCCTTGCAAGAGGAAGGGGTGAGAGGATTAGGCCTAGTGTCAGCACCACACTTCCTGACAGCAGCCCTGATAAGCGCCACAGAGTGATGGTGCCAGCCATTAGGCGACTTGGGAGGAGCAGCTGGGAGGGCAGGCTGGCAGCAGTTTCTCCAGGATGGTAGATCTCGGGACCTTGTCTGCAAGGCTGGAGTAGCAGCCCACCCATAAGCAGGGAGCTCCCTGGGCTGGATTCGCCCCAAGCAATGAGGCCCAGGCTCCTCTCCATCATCTTGTCCAGGCTCAGAGGCTTCAGAAACCCCCCAGATGCTGACGACTCCCACACCCGCGTCTCCAGCCCAGCCCTCCCCGCGGCTGCAGGCTGACTGTCTGTGCGGCCTCCCACACCATGCCGGCACCTCAGACACTTCCAGGCGGGATATCGCTTTCCCCTCCAAACCCACGCTCAACCCATGTGCCTCGGTGCTGGCAAAGGCTCCAGTGCCCACCCCGTTCCCAGGCTGGACCTCTCCCAGCCCACAGCCCATCCTTCAGCCACCCCTTCAAAGTCTCCAAACGCGAGCCCTCCTCCTGCCCAGGCCCGGCCCCACCATCTCTGGTCTGGACGGATGCTGGCGTCTCCACGGGCTTGCCAGCTTCTGCTCTTCCCATTCGCCCCCATCCCTCTTCCAGTAGGCATCACTCTGCAACTCCTGGCCCTGCGCACCGCATTTCTCAGCCCCTCTTCCTCGTGGGCTGCCCTCCAGCTGTGCTGGTCTCAGCTCAGAGCCCGTCCAGGGCTCCACAGGGGCTGCTCCCATTCCTCAGGCCTCTGCTGAAATGCCCCCTTATCCAAGATGCCTTTCCCGACCACCCTGCAGAGAAGGGCTCCCATTTCATGCCTGCCCCCTTGTCCAACCTTATTTTTCTCTGCGGCATTTGTTACTCCCTAATCTTGTATTATGGATTTGCTTATCTGGTTTCTTCCATCTACTCTTAAAATTTAGGCTCTCTGATGGCAATGCCATGGTCTAACCTGTTCACCCACGGATGCCATGCGGGGCACATAAAACAATGCCTCATGTGTAGCAGGCGCTCAGTGAGCATGGGCTGAGGGATGAATGAATCACTGCACATTCATCCTTGGGAGAAACAGGCCCATACCCATGGGGGAACCCAACCCAGCATGAGAGCAGTGCTGGGGCCAAACAGATGTGCACAGGGAGGGTCCACTAGCTCCACCCAGAGGCCAGGGGAGCTTCCTGGAAGAGACGACAAACCACCCCCAGCCTCCTCCCTGGCCCTCCAGGGTCCCTGTCATAAGCCACCCCGCAGTAAGGGGATGCAGGAGAGGCTGATCTGACCAGCTGTGCTGACCCGGGAGTCAGAAGTGTTCAGAGCTGGTGCCTGCATCCCCGCTGCCTGGCAGGAGGAGAGCTGGGCAGGGCTCCCCAGAGAGCAGAGGGGCTTGGTTTAAACACCACGGATCCCACCAGTGAGGGAGAGGTCATCAGCGACCCCAGCGTTGCCTGCCCTTTCCTCCCGAACACACGGCAACATGCCACCTCCCCTCTAATCACTGGAGCACTGAAGGAGGGAGCAGCAGAAGCGTGGGCAGCGAGGACAAACCTGAGCTTGCCCGGAGGCTTAGAGCTTTGCTGAGCGAAGCCCCAGCTCCTCAGCCTCCGGGGCAAGGCGCTCCACACCAGCCCCGGCCCCTTCCAGCTCCGCCACTCCCCAGACACACTCTAGACTCCCCACCACTGCCCCTTTGCTCAGACTGGGCCTCCCCTGCCGCCCTGAACCTTTCCTGCCCATCACAGCCCTACATCCATGACTTTCTTCATCCTGGCATTATTTATAACGACAAAAACATCAGAAACCATCAAAACACACAATAGAGAATTGGCTAAACATGCTACGGTCCGCACAGGCTGAAACATTACACTGCCATTAAAAATCACATTACAGAAGAGAATTTAATGATGGGAAAATGATCTTGGTACGGGATTAAGTGCAAAAGGCAAGTTAGAAAACAGTAAGTACAGCTTGATCCCAATTATGTCATAAATACACGTTTTGTAGCAGACTGATGGGCTAAACACCCAAGTGCTCACACTTCTCTATAGAGAACGCACATTACACTTTTTTAACCAGAAAAATAAAATGTTTGAAAAGCACCTTACAGACTTCAACGCTCAGCCCAAGTGTCACCTGTTCCCACAAGCCCTACCAGACCCCCAGCTGACTGCAGCCCTCCAGACCCGTCAGCTCCCCGCCCGCTGAGCTCCCCATGCCCTGGGCTGAGGTGCCTGTGGGTGCCGCCGTCTGCCTGGGCGGTGGGGAGGCTACTGGTGCCCCTGCCCCCTGCCCCCATCACCCGGCTGCTGCACAGATATCCCTGACCACATCCTCACACAAATCGCCCAGCAGCAATTACAGGTGAAATGGGAGGGGCTGATTAGCTGCTCATTCCCCCCAGAGCCAACTAATTAGCAGAAATATTTTGATGGTGCTAACTGGGCTTCGGAGCAAGGCCTAGTGCCCGGGAGGGAAATCCAGGCCTCCGCTCCCACCGGCTTCCCAGCGTGAGGACAGGGCTGGCTGACCCTCCGCCACACACAACTGTCACACGATCCCGCAGGAGAAGGGAGTCCAGGCCTGCTGCCTGCGCAGCCGCCAGGGTTCTTCCTCTGAAAAACGAGGACAGCACGCCAGGCCAGCCTGCTGCCCCGAGCCCACCCCACCATTCCCTCTGTTTAGCAAAGTCTCTCTGCAGTCTTCTCATGGGTCACAGAGGCCTGTCAAGAACAGGGGACTATCCCAGATATGGGGTAGAGGTGACTTGTCCAAGGTCCGAGTAGGCCAGGGGTCAAGCCAGGTAGCAACCCAGGTCCCCCGCCCCCCATCTCCCACTTCTCTGGGACATGCTGTTGCTTTTCCACATTCCTTCACATGGACCGTGAAGTGAAAGGACCTGTCACCTCCCACATTCTGGAAGTCCTGCTCCTCGTGATACAGTCAGCCAAGGTCACCCAGCTGCCAGCGCTTGTCGCACAAACACATCTGGGGTCTGAGCCTCATCCCGTCCTGAAGATGTCTGGACCCACACGCTGTCTCTGGTGTGTAGCCCTGTTAAACTCCACACATTAGAGCCAATGCCAGCCTCGTGACAGTTTCTTGGACCCCGACTGTCTCAGTCCCCGTGTTCTGGTTCCCTCCCGACCTGAAGTCAGGCACACATTTGGTCAGCAATGTGACAGGACCAAGGACAGAGCCCAGCAGCCTGCCCTCAGAGACCTCCCCTGCCACGCGGGAACCCACTGTCTATGAAACCCAGTCGCTGGGAAGAACGCCCCAGGCTCCTATGCTGCCTGCCATAGCCCTGTTATAGCAAGGGCTGGTGGGAGGTGGCACCACCACAGCAAACCTTCTGGACGTGGCTGTACGTGGGGAGGGAGAGATGGGGAAACCCCCAGAAAGAGGGCCCCATGACAGCCTCCCTTGCAGACCCTCACCCTCCATGGCTCACACCACCCCCACCCTGCCCCACTGCCCAGAGTGGCATCTTACCTCGGGTTGTGTGGGTGTCTGCGGAGTGCAGCTAGGTAGGGCTCAGCCTGGGCTCGATTCAGTCTCCTTCTCTGTTCTTGGGCACTGGAGCCTCAGGGCCTGTGGGTGCAGCAGGCTGTGGGGAGAAAAAGGAGGTGGCGGTCAGGTAGAGCAGGGCAGCAGGCGGTCGGGTGGTGTGGGGACCGCGTCTGCAAATGGGGCTGATCCTGTGTGGCTCAGCCATGAAAACTCACACATCCCCCTACGTACTCTCTGACATGCACACCTGCACACACTCACACGTGCGCTCTCATTCACTGGCACACTCATGCTCTCAACTGTGCACACATGTGCACACACCCACGGCACTAGCTGGGGCAGGCAGGGCTCTGGGAAGGGCAGGGTTTGTGGCCCAGGCAGGCTGGAGTCTGACTACGCCTCTCCCACCAACCGGCTCTGTGGCCCTGGTAAAACCGCTTCCCTCATATGTAAAATGGAGATAGCATCCCCCCTGCCAAGACTGCTGGGAGGATAGAGAGAGAGAAGGGACACGTGGCCTGGCGCACAGTAGGTGTCCAGCCAGTGCCACTGCCCGCTTTCCTCCCCAGCCAGACACCAGAAGGCAGGCCCCAGGCTGACCACAAGAGGGGATACTGGGCAGCACCAGGGTGCCTCTCCTGGAGCCTGAGCCTCAACTTCCCAGGCCTCAAGGACCCCTACAACCTCCACCTACTCACCCTCCCATCTCCCACCCCCAGCCACTCCTGCTTTTTTTTTTTTTTTTTTACAAGAGAGAGTCTTGCTCTGCCACCCAGGCTAGAGTGCAGTGGGGCCATCACAGTTCCCTGCAGCCCAGCCTCCGGGGCTCAAGCGATCCTCCCACCTCAGCCTCCCAAGAAACTGTGACTACAGGTGTGTGTACCACCAAGCCTGGCTAATTTTTTAATTTTTTTGAAAACTATGTTGCTCAGGATGGTCTCAAACTCCAGACCTCAAGCAGTCCTCCCACCTCGACCTCCCAAAGTGCTGGGATTATCATTGGAGCCATCTTGCCCAGCCATCCTGCTTGATTCTTTCATCATATATTCTCCCAGGGTCCCTCTAGACTAGACCCTCAGTCCTCTGAGTACTGGTGGGGGTGCCAGGAAGTTCTGGCTCCTTGGCAAGGCTCTGAGGCCTCCATGGTGCAAGACATAGCCTCAGCTGCAAGTCCAAGGAGGCACGTTCACTCCCAGCTGTCCCTCCTCCTGGCCCGGTGGCCCTGGGCAAAGCCTCCTCTGTACCTCAGTTTCCTCAACCTCTCAGACCAAGTCCCACATCTCTTTCTGAGCCGCTGCAGAGAGCTTTCAATCAGATCTGTATTTCCCAAGGTAGGAAACACACGCTTCTGGTGGTGCACAAGGGGATTTCGTGGTGTGCAGGCAAATGTTTTCGTTTTCATAGTTTTATGTTTCTTTCTGTATACTGGAAAAAAAAAAACTCAACAGGCACATCACAGGTGTAATTTCCTGGATGTGTGGCTTGGGGAGCACCGCGGTAATCCACCTTCAAACATAAGTCAACACAAAGACAAGGATTAAGAAAACATGAGTGCAAGGCCAGGTACAGTGGTTCATGCCTGTAATCCCAGCACTGGGAGGCCGAGGCGGGCGGATCACCTGAGGTCAGGAATTCTAGACCAGCCTGGCCAAGATGCTGAAACCCCATCTCTACCAAAAATACAAAAATTAGCAGGGTGTGGTGGCGGGCGCCTATAATCCTAGTTACTCAGGAGGCTGAGGCAGGAGAATCACTTGAACCTGAGAGGCAGAGGTTGCAGTGAGCCAAGATCGTGCCATTGCACTCCAGCCTGGGCGACAAGAGCAAGATTCCGTCTCAAGAAAGAAAGAAAAAAAGAAAGAAAAGAAAGAAAGAAAAGAAAGAAAGAAAGAAAGAGGAAGAAAGAGAGAGAGAGAGAAAGAGAAAGAAAGAGAGAGAGAAGGAAAGAAGGAGAGAAGGAAAGAAAGAAAAAGAGAGAGAAAGAAAGAAAGAAAAAGAAAGAAAGAAAGAAAAAAAAGAAAGAAAGAAAGAAAGTAAAAGAAAGAAAGAAAGAAAGAAAGAAAGAAAAAAAGAAAGAAAGAA